TCTTTCTTTCTTTCTTTCTTTCTTTCTTTCTTTCTTTCTTTCTTTCTCTCTCTCCTTCCTTCCTTCCGTCTTCTTTCTTTCTTCCTTCCTTTCTTTCCTTCTTTCTTTCTCTCTCTCTCTCTCTCTTTATTTCCTTTCTTTTTTGACAGAGTCTTGCTCTGTCACCCAGGCTGGAGTGCAATGGCGTGATCACGGTTCACTGCAACCTCTGCCTCCTGGGTTCAAGCAATTCTCCTGCCTCAGCCTCCCAAGTAGCTGGGATTACAGGTGCCCACCACCACGCCTGGCTAACTTTTGTATTTTTAGGAGAAACAGGGTTTCACCATGTTGACCGGGCTGGTCTCGAACTCCTGACCTCAGGTGATCCCCCTGCCTCAGCCTCCCAAAGTGCTGGGATTACAGGCGTGAGCCACCACACCCGTCCCCATTTCAACGTTCTCAACAGGGTGGTGCAGGATCAGTTGTTGCAGATGTGGAGACTACAGATTGGAGAAGGGCTGGTAGGGGAAGCAGGGAGATCAGTGTAACTCAGAGAACGAAGTCTGAGGTCACGGCAGGTGGCAGTGGAGGTGGCTAGAGGGCAGGTGGGCTTGGAGGCAAATGTGGTGGGGTGGGGTTTGCTCTCAGGTTGGATGCAGAGGTCCTGGAAGAAAGGATGGAAACTGAATGACTTCTAGGTTTCTGACTTGAACAAACAGAACGACTATACTGTTAGGTAGTTAGATGGACATGAGCAGCTGGGAGAGGGAGAGAGAAGAAAGCAGGAGGGCTGTCACTAAGACCAGCCCTAGCCCACCTAAGTTCAGCCCCAGACCGTCCTATCTCCACCCTAATGGATGGAATTCATGGTAAAATCTGGGGCCGGCACATCCTGGAGGAAGAAAAACTGGGGCACAGATAATGATGGCCCATCTTCATTATACAGTCATTATAATACAATTTACATGTGGTTTTGCCCTTCTGAGTGGGCTTTTCTTAATGAATTATGGGTAAAAACACACGCAGTTTAACTTTAGGGATGTAACCATAAACTGCCAATCAAACACAGCCTAAGTTTCAACTCCTCCCACAAACCCCGTTAAAAGCACCTTGAGTTTTGTAAAGAGGTGCTGATTTTACTTCCCAGAAATCAGCCTGCTCTCCCTCAGAGTGTTTTACTGGGTTGCAATAAACCTTGCTTTAAGCTTGCATTTCAGTGTTAGTTTGCCTTTTTTTTTTTTTTTTTTTTTTTGAGATGGAATCTCGCTCTTTTTTTTGAGATGGATTTTTGAGATGGAATGTCGCCCAGGCTTGAGTACAGTGGCGCGATGTCGGCTCACTACAAGCCCCTCCCCCTGGGTTCATGCCATTCTTTTGTCTCAGCCTCACAGTAGCTGGGACTACAGGCGCCTGTCACCACCGCCGGCTAATTTTTTTGTGTTTTTAGTACAGATGGGGTTTTACCGTGTTCACCAGGATGGTCTCGATCTCCTGACCTCGTGATCCACCTGCCTCAGCCTCCCAAAATGCTGGGATTACAGGCGTGAGCCACCGCGCCCAGCCTAGTTTGCAATTCTTTGCTTGCTATGGCAAGAACTGAGATTGCTGGTCCAGAGCTCCAGCTCTGTTGATCTTAGTTAAAGAATCTGTCGGCCGGGCGCGGTGGCTCAAGCCTGTAATCCCAGCACTTTGGGAGGCCGAGACGGGCGGATCACGAGGTCAGAAGATCGAGACCATCCTGGCTAACATGGTGAAACCCCGTCTCTACTAAAAAATACAAAAAAACTAGCCGGGCGAGGTGGCAGACGCCTGTAGTCCCAGCTACTCGGGAGGCTGAGGCAGGAGAATGGCGTAAACCCGGGAGGCGGAGCTTGCAGTGAGCTGAGATCCGGCCACTGCACTCCAACCCGGGCGACAGAGCGAGACTCTGTCTCAAAAAAAAAAAAAGAATCTGTCAGGCCTCTGAGCCCAAGCCAAGCCATCGCATCCCCTGTGACTTGCACGTGTAGGCCCAGATGGCCTGAAGTAACTGAAGAATCACAAAAGAAGTGCAAATGCCCTGCCTCGCCTTAACCGATGACATTCCACCACAAAAGAAGTGAAAATGGCCGGTCCTTGCCTTAAGCAATGATATTATCTTGTAAAATTCCTTTTCCTGACTCATCCTGGCTCAGAAAGCTCCCCCACTGAGTACCTTGTGACCCCCACTCCTGCCTGCCAGAGAACAAACCCCCTTTGACCGTAATTTTCCTTTACCTACCCAAATCCTATAAAACGGCCCCACCCTTATCTCCCTTCGATGACTCTTTTCGGACTCAGCCCGCCTGCACCCAGGTGAAATAAACAGCCACGTTGCTCACACAAAGCCTGTTTGGTGGTCTTTTCACACGGACGCGCATGACAGAATCCATTCCAACACAGGATGCCCAGTAACAATACCATTGGCAGAGATGAGGAAGCCTGGGGGACAAGTGACAGATTTTGAGATGGGTGTCAGCAATTAGAAAGTTGTGCCGGGCGCGGTGGCTCAAGCCTGTAATCCCAGCACTTTGGGAGGCCGAGACGGGCGGATCACGAGGTCAGGAGTTCGAGACCATCCTGGCTAACACGGTGAAACCCCGTCTCTACTAAAAAATACAAAAAACTAGCCGGGCGAGGTGGCAGGCGCCTGTAGTCCCGGCTACTCGGGAGGCTGAGGCAGGAGAATGGCGTAAAAACCCGGGAGGCGGAGCTTGCAGTGAGCTGAGATCCGGCCACTGCACTCCAGCCTGGGCGATACAGCGAGACTCCGTCTCAAAAAAAAAAAAAAAAGCAATTAGAAAGTTGTTTGTGCTGGACAAGGTGGCTCACACTTGTAATCCCAGCACTTTGGGAGGCCGAGGTGGGCGGATCACCTGAGGTCGGGAGTTCGAGACCAGCCTGACCAACATGAAGAAACCCCATCTCTACTAAAAATACAAAATTAGCCAGGCGTGGTGGCACATGCCTGTAATCCCAGCTACTCGGGAGGCTGAGGCAGGAGAAACGCTTGAACCTGGGAGGTGGGAGTTGTGGTGAGCCAAGATTGCGTCATTGCACTCCAGCCTGGGCAACCAGAGCAAAACTCTATCTCAAAAAAAAAAAGAAAGAATGTTATTTGTAACATGATAATAGATTTCAGGTGTAAGATCCCTGCATGGAGAAAGTGAGTAGGCAGATGAATTTTTTTTATCCTGGTGTTCCAGGGAGAATCTGACCTGTAACTACACACTCGGGAGGAGGGATTAGCATATACACGTTATTTCAAGGCATGGAGAGAATGTGAAGAAGCCCAAAATTGAGCTCTGAGGAACACTAACTTTTCAATGTTGAGTGCAGGGGGAGGAGTGTAGCAGAAACTAATTGAGTCCATATATAAATACACACACACACACACACACACACACAGACACACACACACACACGTTAAATTAAGATGAGTTATACTAGAACCTGTTTGTATGGTGTTAATGGTCCAGAACAGAAGGCTGACAATTTAGGAGAAGGATAAACAAAATATCAAAATCTCAGAAAATGCTGGGGGTAGCCAGGCGCTCACACCCTTTAATCTCAACACTTTGGGAGGCAGAGGTGGGAGGATCACTTGAGCCCAGGAATTTAAGACCAGCGTGGCCAACATACAGAGAACGTGTTTCTACACAAAAATAAAAAATAAAAATTAGCTGGTGTGGTAGCACATGCCTGCTGTGGTCCCAGCTACATGGGAGGCTGAGGTGGGAGGATTGCTTGAGGCTGGGAGGTCAAAGTTGCAATGAGTTGTGATCGTGAACTCCAGCCTGGACAACACAGTGAAACCCTGTCTCTTAAAAAAAAAAAAAAAAAAAAAAAAAGCAGGGGGATGGGCTGCAGGGGCTTAGGTGTAGGCATCAGCTTCAGTGTGGCTGGAGGTAGGTTTGTCGGCTTGGTGGAGGGAGGAAGGAGCTTATGTCTTATGGCTTCACTTTCCTAAGTGGATTATATACATGAGGCAGTAAGGGAGTGTGAGAAGGCTGACTGTGGACATGATCTGATGTGGGGAAATGCAAAGCAAGCCTACTAGAGATTCAAAGTAGGATCCTTTGGTAACATTGTGTCCGTTTGAGCTTTGTCATCATTACAGTGAAATCTGCACAGCTCAGCTGTAATTTTCTTCTGGGAATATTCAGCTCTTCAGGTGCAGCTACCAGGCAAAGGGAAGGGTTCACCCAGGTCTGGTGTCTTAAACAGGGACGTGCCACAGGGGGACAGAATGCCGGGATGGAGGGTGTTCAGGAAGCAGCGATTGTATAATGGACCATGTGACAGCCTGGATAAGCTGGGAGCGAGCTGATGGCACCGAGGTAGGCTGAAGAATGCCTGCACATGTATTTCAGGAAATAAACAGGAAATGGTGTTCCGGAAGCGCTCGACTGTGTAGCCTCTAAGAAAGCAGGCCCCAAAGCTGCACTGTCAATGCCTGTTTTTTTTGAGATGGAGTCTCTGCCGCCCAGGCTGGAGTGCAGTGGTGTGATCTCGGCTCACTGCAACCTCTGCCTCCCGGATTCAAGTGATTCTCCTGCCTCAGCCTCCGGAGTAGCTGGGATTACAGGCGCACACCACCACGCCTAGCTAATTTTTATATTTTTAGTAGAGATG